GAAACAGAAAATTTAGGCAACAACAAAAGAAAATAATGAAATCACTTCAAACTATTTCGTATCAACACAGGATAGCCCACAAGGTAAACAACGCCAATGTTTTTATCAACTCGCATATGACCCTTCTGGACAAGATAATCACGATGCTCTAGAAAAAATTGAATATTGCAACTAAGGAAAAGTAGGCAAAAATGCAATGATACCGTAAGAAAAGATAACTGATTGTTACTCACTTGAAGGTTTTAACATGGGTCTCTCCTGTTTTCCAACCTCGTGCACAAAATTTGGAAGCGCCAACGTTTCCAAGAGACCAGCTTGTTCGTCTCGTAAAGCTTTCTTTGCGGCAGATAGTGTTTCCTGCGAAATTGTATAATACATGATGTACTGAATGGAAACAAAGCAAAAGCGTGGAGTGAGTTGGAAAGAAAAGTAGAAATTATAGCCTTGGTTTCCACTAATGAGAAATAAAAAAGACAATTTTACTAAGGCAAACTTCATTGTTTCATTCCCTTTGGTAACTAAACTTTCACTTCAAACTTGAAACAAAAACTCTACAATTTAGTTTATAACTTAACGATCAGAAAATGCACTGCTTGTTTTACCCGACACAATAATCTTCTGCCCTCTGCAGATCTACTGATGAACAAGTAATCAAAACGGGGATGCTATGATGAGGTGACAGAAGTTTTTGATGGTCTGGGTAAACGCTCATACCTTTGACTGATCTGATTTCGATGCTTTGGTCCATGCTTCATATTTTGTCCACCATTTCTCATATTTTTCCTTTAAATCCGCAATATTTATGTCGCTCCGACGCTCTTCAAGACTTCTACGGAGTCTTCCCGCATTTTCAAAAATGTACCTGAACAGAGAGCTGCTGGCCTCAGGGAAAACTAAAATGAGCAGTGAAATCTCACCTGAGATCAACATTTGGATCAACTACATGCACATCCCCTTGGCCAGTGTATCTAGCCGCAAGATGCGACATTCGACGAACGAATGCCCGTAAGGAAAACATTCCTGCCTTGGAGAGTTTCCACTTTATTGGTCAAGCCATCAATCTTCGAACAGCGGATATTGAGCTGGATTCTGAGATGTGAATGCGCAGACTTCTAAGGCAAAAAAATGTGGCAGAAGTTATTATTATAGCTAGAAGTTTTAACATCATGAATTCTACTCCACTATTCTCGATATTTTTTAATAATTGTGGAGCAATATATCTTAAGGAGAGATTACCGTTTAGGGTAGACTAGCAATGAAAGACAAGATTTATCATGCGATAAAGCGCTGCGTACACACCAATAAAGAGCAGAAAAGTTTGAAGGAAAAAGATAAGCACGTTTCCCAACTAAGTATTTAAGCTCAGAAAAGTACAGGATCTACGTACATTATGGAATCAATTATTAACAAACAACAATAGAGCAGATGAAATTTACAAGAAACCTCAAAATACTGAAGTGATTTTAAGATAATAGGATATCTAGCCTAATGCATATATGGAGGTAGAACAAAGTCAATTCCATATTCCTTCAGAACAGGCTCCAAAATATCGTTAGTCAAGCAATATCGCGTCTCTTTCGTGCCTTTCTTTGTTTGTCCAAGACCCTTCATTCTAGCCTATAACGTCATCTTTAAGACTCCAAAAAATGCTAGTTCCGAAACATGTTACCTGTTGCATTGCATCAAGAATGATGTCAGAAACGTATTTTTGAGTTGCTAAAGCAACTAACCTGAAAAAGCAGAAACAATTGAGGACGCGTCTTTTAACTGTCAAAGTGGTGCATGAATGTATTTTATTCCACAATTTCTCAAAAAATCGCAGGAAATTTTTGTTAATGATTATTCCACAAAGAATTCACATTTAGTAGCTTATTGTAGCAGATTGCCGTAGACCCATAGTAGGTCTAGCAGATGATAAGTCACGGATTGTTACAAAAATTGGCCCAATGGAGTCCTTGCAGCGGATTATCTACATAGTACGTCTATCGAAGGCACGAGGAACTGGCAGCGAGGAACTGAGAAGCGTGAGACAGTAATCGGAAAGTTTTATATAATTACCTGAGGAAATGTAGTATCATAACAACGAGGTAACTAAGTATTGCAGTACCTCCTAAACTGAAAATTCGCTCAATGGGTCCTACTGATAAAACAGTAAAGTTTCTAATGGAAATAAATACTATCCATATGTATCAAATGATCCTCCAGAAAGTTAAAAAAAA